TAAAGTATTATTTCTTAATGCCGACCTAGCTTCGGGCCTATTCCGACCCTAAATTTTGGTCGGTCTGCTGAATTTTGGTTGCTCCACTAAATAACTTATAATTTTAATGCAATGGCACAGTAAATGGTCATTTTTATATAGTTTATGAGCAGTAAGGCGTACCATTTATTACGTAATATTTTTAATTAGCATGCGATCGTGCTAGAGATATCGAAAAACGTGGATAAAAACCAAAAAGGCAACTAATTTACATAACCGATTTAGCAAGACAATTATCGTTATAACGATAACGATAAAGACCATTAATCCTACATTAACGTTAGTCAATGAAGAAACGAATGCCTCTAAAGTTGTGGACATGAGTTTTGGACACTTTTGGACATTTCTGGAAAATAAATAAATTACTCAAATTTTATTAACCTATTTCTATTTTCACCCGGGTTAAAGTTACCTGATATATAATTGTTATTATACTATATAATATAAATTTATATAATATCGTAAAATTCATCTATCCTAACCTCTAACTAACCAATCTATAGAATTTTTAGTTGGCTATAGTAGTTTGTATTATATAATATAATGGAAATTATATATCGGGTGACTTTAACCCGGGTGAAAATAAAATTTCCCATAAAATATAGCATATATTTTTTTAAATAAATATATTAATTTTTGAAGCTTGAATATGCTGTAGACATTCTTGGACATGTGGAGCATGTGGAGGACATGACATAAAAAAGTCTTGGACATAGTAGATGTGAAGACCATGGTCACTGAACCATAAGATATCGAACATTTTAACTTAGAGTTTTGCAAGTGACATAACAGTAAAATGATATTAGTTTATTAAGTAAAGTTGTCCGTAGTGATAAGTTCTACGCAAAAAACTAAATTTTGACAACCTTTATCAATGGACTTTCGTGTTATCCGTTTTGAAAGGTTATTAATTTTGGAGTTTTGCCAAGAATTAAGCAAAAAAATTAAAAATTGATATCTAGTGATCAAAAATAGATAAGAAAATTGTGTGATCACCATCATAATATCGATATCCCAAATCGATATAGATACTTATCAAATTTTTTTGATCAAGGACCCCTTTAACGTTAAATTGGCAGTTTACAAATCCAGTAACAAACACTATGATTGGTTATTGATATATCCAAAAAAATCGACATGATGTAAAATTTACAAGCTTGTACTACCAAACTTTTTGATTAAAGCCTGTGTATGCGAGATTTTATAATCAAATCTTGATTCACTTAAACCAGGATCAATAAACATTAAATTGTGAAAGTCTTTCGTTTCTTTTAAACTTTATATCAAAAATAATACACTATGTCGTGTTTAGTGTCTTTACTCAGATCTATCAGATTTTCGAATAGACGATATGAGCCAATTCCTGATGAACCGCATCCGGAAGGTCACTTTCATTCTCCAGAAATAATTAGGGATATTGTATTGGGATTAAGTGACGGTTTGACTGTACGTGTACAAAATGTATTTTTTTTTTCAATGTTTTACTGAAATTTTATTGTTAATTTAGGTTCCCTTTGCTTTGGCTGCGGGTCTTTCTTCTTTAGGGAATAGTCGTTTAGTAATCATTGGTGGTCTTGCTGGTAAGTAGCTTTGTTGGAATGTATGGTGTTTTACTAAATTGTATTATTTGAAATTATGACTTATATGTTGAGTGTCTAACGATTTTTTTTTTTTTTTTCCAAGAGTTAATATCAGGTGCCATTTCGATGGGTTTAGGCGGTTATTTGGCTGCAAAATCAGATTCGGATCATTATGATACGGAAAGACTTAGAGAAGAGTGGGAAGTTCAGAATTGTCCTGAAGCTGAAGCTCAAGAAATTATCGGTATGTTTATTATTCAGATTCGTTACGACTTTTAAAAATTTTCAATTAATTTTTTTTTTCGTTAATGTCATCTAGATATATTATCCCCGTACGGATTAGATGTTGCAACTTTGGCTCCTTTAATTGAAAGATTAAGATCAAATCCAGAAAAATTTGTTGATTTTATGATGAAATTTGAGTTATGTCTTGAGAAACCAGGTTAGTTGGTTATTCATTTAAAGATGTTTTATATTCCATAACCTTGAATTTACTCAGGTTTTGTTTTTCTTATATCCATGTAGATCCTTCTCGATCATGGGTGAGTTGAGTTTACAATTCGTTGTTTATTCAATGTTCTCGAGAAAACTTTAAATAATACATTATTTCAATATTCTCCAGAAAAGTGCCATAACTATCGGGTCGGCTTATTTCTTTGGTGGTCTTATTCCGCTGATTCCTTATTTCTTCATAGAATCGGCCATGACGGGCTTGTATGTTAGTAGTATTATAACCTTGTTGGGTCTAGTTATATTCGGATTTATTAAGGCCATGTTCACAGCACCTAATAAGGCATTATGGGCTGCTTTTCAAACAGCTCTTGTCGGTGCAATCGCTGCTGCTGCTGCGTTTGGTGGAGTAAGAATTATTGAGGATTTTTTCCACTAATCAAAAATTATTAATAGCCTATGGATATATATTGATCATAAATATGACTATGTGAATTTAATTCATTACTTTTAATAATAACATCATAATAAAAACTTTTATTAGTTTTTTAAGTACTGATAAAACGATATTTCAAGGATTCGATATATATGTCGTGTATCAGATTAAAATTTGCGTCAGATTAAAATTTAAATGCAGAGTTTTTAGGGTAAGGGTGGGTGTCTATGTTGGGCATTAGCGGAATTATGATGATATTAATCTGACGCAGATTTTAATTTGGCGCACAACATATATATATATTGTGTAAGATATTAAATGCATAGTAACTGTCAATTTTAAGTCATATAGTACGGATTAGATATCGTGGCTTAACTATAATAACCACATTTGACAGTGTTGTGCATTTAGTACGTAGCTTAAAATAGGTTATTATTATAAAATTTTGTCCGAATGTTTATTGAGTCGTCCAAGTGGCACTAAGGCGGAGATTGATAACGCTAAAAACAATTCATATTCAGCTCCCACTACTCCTTTATATTTATTTTTTAAGGACAAAGTATCTTTTTTCTTAATTTGTATATGCATATCATTATCGTTGCCGAAAAAATTTATCAAATTCCTGAATGGGGAATGTGTTTTAAGTTCGCCCATATCGATACGTATGAAACTTTATCACTATATTCTGATATCATTCTATGCTTAATTAGACTTACTGTACGTATAGTATACGTATATATTTGGTTATCTACGAATTTAATACCATATCAAATCTATTTTATTAAGAGTAATTCGAGGATAAAATAATACTTGATATAGTCCTAGTTGATTTATTAAGTTGAATAAATACGTATGCCAAACTATTTTTCAAAATTTGGACATTTCTTTAGTGAATTATTCTTTATTTTTACTATGAATTATTTATTTTACTACGTAAAATTTTATTATTAACTATATAGTACTGATATTTCGATTAATTTTTGATTTACTGGGAAGAATTTCTAAAAAATTAAACGTTTTACTAAATCGCACGGTGGTGTTAACATCGCAGTCGCTATACGTATCAGTCACACAATTTGTCACATAACTTGTATATAGTAAATTTATATATAAAATCATAATAAAAACATATAGAATTACTTATCCTTAAACCGTCAAATTAAGCGTACAAAATCGTACGCTTAAATAATTTTGAAGATGAAAACCTTAACCCTAATTGGCTGTGGTGACTCCCAAGGGTTGGAACCACATGTCGATACTTAATTGTAGCAGTATGATACGTATACTCAATATGACCCAAACGAAGGGCACAAATTCACACAATGGTTGTGAAATATGCCATGTGGCCTGGGCATTTGAGCTATCTTATCTTCAGCTCCGTGAACTCGTGACTCGCTAATTAGTATTCGAATCATTCGAATTATATGATCGAGTTATTTTTTCGAGTTATTTGAGCTATAAATATGCTAAAAAAGCAAATCTAGTACACTAAATATATTTCAATTTGCGAATTACAATAAAAAGCACATCTAATACAATAAATAGATTTCAAATCGCGAATCACATAAAAAGCAAAGCTAATACATTAAATATATTTCAAATTGCAATTACAAATATAGTTGTTATAATAAAAGCAACTATTTTAAATTACAATTAACAGTGCATATTAATTATTCGTTAGCTAGAAATATTGTATCTAATAAATCTAGATTTTTCTTTAAAAACAGCATTTTGCCCACCAATTCTGGTCCAAGGTTTTCTTCCCGTTCACTGTCACTTTTGTTTTGCTTCATATTTGTACGATGTATTGATTTATAAAAATTCGCAATTGCAATAATTTATTTCATATAATTATGTATATATTTACGTAATTATAAACTACGTTAATTACAAATTTTATAATGCAATGATTAATTAATCAATAGGGTAGCTGCGCAGCGCGCAGTACGATCACGTTAGACGTGTAAATTCAGACTATTCGAATAGTTATTTATAAGGGATTTTAATGCTCACGATATTTATTAAATCAAATAAAACCAATAAATATAATTTAATGATGGTTAGAGCTGTTAAAAAGCGACTTCATACGAACTTTTTAGGTCCGACTCAAGACTCTCCCCAGACAAAGTCCCATATGCATCTTTTGTTCTAGAAGGGCATGCATGTGCTTGGCTAATTTACATCTCCCGAACAAAGTCCCATATGGGTGAGTACACAGCAAAACCATGCTTAGAGTATAAGGTAGATATGCCTATTTTGACGCAGGTAACATTTTCGATAAATATCGCATGATATATCGATCAGAATTGGACGAATCGAATGGTACAAAATCATCCAATTCTAATCACTAAATCATGAGATATCACTTATTAAAGGTTGTCTAAAACATATGTTCCTAATTTGATATAGTATCAATCAGAATCGCAATAATTTGGTGCCATTCGATTCGTCTTATCGAGACGAATCAAATGGTACCAAAATCTTGCGATTCTGATTGATACATCATATGATATTTATCGTAAACGTTTACCTGCGTCAAATTAGTCATATCTACCTTGGGCTATTTTGGTTAAATGGAATATCTCGAGGGCTATCGATCAGAATCACATGATTTTGGTACTGTTCGATTCGTCTCGATGAGACAAATCGAATGGTACCAGAATCATATAATTCTGATCGACAATTCACAAGATATCATCGTGCGTCAAATTAGGAACTACGTCAAATTAGGTATATATATCTACCTTATAGATGATGTGTACTCACCCATATGCATGTCTTTTTGTTCTAGAAGGGCATGCATGTGATTGGCTAATTTACATCTCCCGAACAAAATCCCATATCGATATGCATGTCTTTTTGTTCTAGAAGGGCATGGCTAATTTACATGAGATCGATTTGTTGTTATTACATGCACGGACTTCATAGCAGAAGTTTGTCTTATTGGCTGGATTTTCAGATCAACACGTGAATATCAACCAATTAAATCGAATATTCAAATCAATTCACTTAAAAATTTGAATTAATTCGAATAAATTATATCGATATGAATTCATATAAATTCATATAAAATATATTTATGCAAAAGTATGCAAGACTATGCAGGGCTATACAAAAATATGCAAAATATGCAAGGCTATGCATATGCATAACCTTGCATAACCTTGCATACTTTTGCATATGTTTTATGTAATTTATTCGAAATAATTTAAAAAATTTGAATTTAAAAATTAAATTCGATTCCAACCTCTAGTCGGAAGAAGCATTGTTTATATGTCAAAAAAAGTGACAGTGAACGGGAAGAAAACCTTGGACCAGAATTGGTGGGCAAAATGCTGTTTTTAAAGAAAAATCTAGA